CTCCCAGGGAAACAAGGCGTGAGTTTGCAGGCTACTGAGTCATCTGGGGCACCACAGGGCACTGCCATGGCTAAGTATTAGTGCCACTGCAAGGCTTTGTCCCCCTAGGAACCCCCTGGGAGGGTGAGAACCTGGGTTGCCCACACAACACAGCCACTGGCACTCCCTTGGCTTCTTCCCCAGCCTCAGCAGAGTCTCATCCAACCAAGGAAATTATTTTTATTTTTATTTTTTTTAAGAAAGAAAAGAGGAAAAGCAGAAAGCAAACAAATAAATAAAGGAGCAAATGCAGCACTTGACTCCAGAGGCCTCTGCCGTGGGAAGAAGCTGTCCCAAAGTGGTGTGTCATCAGCAGCACAGAAACCCAAACAATCAGCCCCTCTGTGTGCCGTGCCAGCTGCAGCCCGGCCGGGACCAGGGCAGGGGAACAATGGCTGTGGGGACAATGGGGATTGTTCAGGCTCCTCCGGAGGGAACAGCCCCATGCAGCCCTGGGAGGGGACCTGCAGCTGTCACCAGCTCCGAGCTGCCAGACAAGTGGCAGATTTGGTGTGCCCTCAAGAAGGGCATGTGCCTGGCGGGACTCTCACAGGAGGCTGGAAGTGGCAGTGAATGCTTGTTAAAGGTTTCTCTGCAGGAAAAACCTCTCTCCATGCTGAGCTGGGGTTTATGGGGTGCTGGGGTGCATAGATGGGGAAAGCAGGGCCAGGCTGTGCCGGATGAACCTATGGCTGCTCTATCAATGCTGTTATCCATGTGTATGTGTGCATACACTCACTGCAAAGACACATGGAGAAGGTTTCTCCTCTTGAAGGAGAAATGTTCTCTTGATTGAGAAGGTTTCTCCTCTTAACTCATTCTAATGCTGGTCACTCTACCCTGGAGCCATTGAAGCCCAGTTACCTTTCCCAGCAATGCCATTACAGAAATCATTTCAGCTTTTCAAATGAATGTGGGTAGTTTATCTATTAAACATGGAGGATGGCATCTTTTTGCCCTTCTCCCCATTTGCTTTTCATGCTTCATCCACCCCTTGGTGCTCTCCCACCCAGGACAGCATCACTTCTGGTCTGCCAAAGCCCAGGCACAGCAAAGTCAGGGTATTGGCTGGCAGAAAGAACCAGCTTTTGGGGCAGCAGCAATTTGCTTTGGATCTGGGGTCCCTTTTCCCCAAGGGAGTCAGAGGAGTGGCAGGGGTCTGTGTGTGTGTGTGTGTGTGTGTACACTATAAAGCACAGGTCCATCTGTCAGCATTGCTGGGCTATGACTACAAGTGTTTATCTTGAAAGCCAGAGGGTTACATTCTCCAAAGTTTCCAGGGAGAAAATACAGACCCTTCCTTTCAGCTGTGTGCTGGAGGATGTGTAACCTCGACGAATTCCTCCGTTTTGTTTGGCTTGGGTGCAATGTGCCAGGTAGCATCACCAGCCAGAGGCTCTCCTGGCTTTGATCTGGGAGCTAGGTGTGCTTCACGACAGGTTAATGGCCATCAAACTCTGCAGCCCAGAGTCTAGACTCTTCCACCTGCTCTGTACATATTAACACAGGCTCACACACAACTCACTCTGTACATGTACCCATACGAGCAGCCAGTCTCACCACGGATGCAAAGCAAAGCTCCTCAGCAGCCTTCCAAAACAAGCAAACTAAGCCTCTGCAATGGACACAGCTGCACTGTGGATCCAGGGGACAAGCAGCCTGTGCTCCTGCTGTATTCCTAGACAGGGCTACCAGAGCTGAAGGTCTCCTTTCCATCACCATCTGCAACAAAACATCTCCATGCTGCAGCTCTGTCCTTTCCCTGGAGCTCTGTGAGGGATGCACATCCCAGGTGCAAAAACCACCACTGTGGGGGAGCTCACAGTGTCAGAGTGGAGAAAAACATGCTGAGGGGCAGCCAGCCAGCCAGCTGCCTTGTATTTTGGCTGGCATCTCCTGTTCCTAACACCTAGCACCACACTCACAATGCAGAGGAATCCCAGGGGCAGCATTATCCCTGTCACACCTCCAGCCCAGTCACTTACAGAAAACACAGGTAATTTGTCCCTCAGGTTGGTCAACACTGGCTGCAGTGAGACCACAGAGCTGCTCCCCATCACCATGTGCTGCACGGGGCTTCCAAGAGAAATGAATCATCCCTGAGCCAAGCAAACAAAAACAAAATAAACCCCTGTGTTTATAAAGTACAGGGAACGGCACAGCTGTGGGCCAGAGCCTTGAGAAAACAAGACAGCTTCAAAGCACCTGGAGCTGCACCCGGTGAGCAGCAGGGACAGGATGGAACAGCCAAGCTCCCTGTGGCTGCTGCTGGTCCTGGCAGCCTTGGCCTGAGCTGTGTCCTGCTGAGTGTCCAGGGGACCTGTCCTACAGGCAGCAGAGGCACTGCCTGCTCTGCAGATGATCATAGAGTCACAGTCTCACGGAATATTCTGAGTGGGAAGGGACTTAAAAGGACCAGAGCCAACCAGGAGAGGATGATCATAGAGTCACAGGATCACGGAATATCCTGAGCGGGAAGGGACTTAAAAGGACCAGAGCCAACTCCTGTCCCTGCCCAGACCCCCCAACAAGCCCACCCTGGGCATCCCTGGCAGCGCTGTCCAAAGGCTCCTGGAGCTCTGGCAGCCTCGGGGCCGTGCCCATTCCCTGGGGAGCCTGGGCAGTGCCAGCACCCTCTGGGGGAAGAACCTTGCCCTGATCTCCAGCCTGACCATCCCTTAACATATATTCATGCCATTCCCTCAGGAACTGTCACTGGCCACCAGAGGAGAGATCAGGGCCTGGACCTCCATTTGGCCTTGGTGAGGAAGCTGCAAAAGTTATATCATTTCCCCTTAGTCTCCTCTTCTCTAGGCTGAACAAACAAAGTGACCACAGCCTCTCCTCGTATGGCTTCCACCCTTCTTCACCATCTTTGTCCCCCTGCTTTGGACATTCTCCAATGGCTTTAGATCTTTCTTATACTGCGGCACTCAAAAGTGTACATTAGTCCCAGTCACTCTGCATCAGTGGCTCCAAAGCCACATTTGGGTGTTTTGCACCCAAAGTGCACATCCTGTGTCCTGGCAGCACGTGAAATGAATGGGCACATGACATGAAATGGGCAGGTCAGTCTGACACCAGTCTGGGCACCCCCAGGCGCCCCCACACTGGCATTCCAGGTGTGTTGTTGCAGCTCCAACGAGGAAAACCAAAGTTATTATTTGACTGCAAGAAATCACAATCATCTCCTTCATTCCCACAACCAAACTCCAAGGCCACCACTGACCCCCAAAGGGCAAAGGGATGGTGAAGAGGCAGAAACAGTGCTAGACACTCAGATTTTAACCCATGGTGGTGTAATGGTCCCCTCTTGGTTGTTGTTTTCAGTGTGGTACGACCCTCAGAGACGCACAGGCCACAGCCCAGAGTCCTCAGTGTCATCCTCCTCCCTCTCTCCATCAGAAAAAGGGATTTAGCTTAAAAATTAAGACCTCAGGCAACCTGCAATGCTTTGGAGCTTGTCTTACAGGCTGCAATGTCACAGCAAAATTTTTTGTGAACTTCAGCAGGATTTTGACCAGGTGCTGTAGTCCTTGCCAAAGCACATGAATGTGGCTCAAATGAAGAGACATAACCAAAGGGGGGGAAAAAAAGGAGAAGTTCAGAAGGAACAATCAGAATTATTTGAGTGGGTGCAAATCAGGCAAACAGGTTTAGCTTAAGAAGAAAAAGGTCTCTGGCAGAACCTTCTCCACATCAAATTCTGCACTGTTGTTTGTTTTGAAAACATTTTTGCTTTGAAACTCATGTCCTGTTTGTTTGATTTGATGTTAAAGGGTTAACTAACCTGAAAAACTAAACAAAACTATTTGCTTTGGGCTGACTAAACTGATTAATTCAACCCACACTTCTCTCTCTTCCCTCTCCAGGTTCGTTGTTCTGCTTTAGAAAGGAAAAAGCAATAGCTTTGAGCTGATCTGATTTTTGTATTTTTTTCCCCTTTCACCCTCCCACACTTTTTGGTTTGGCTACCAGGCTGAGAAATCCATTACCCACAGGGAGCCCAGGCCAGCCTAACCCACATCTGACAGTAAAAGAAACCAGATTCTCCATGTCTTTTTAGCCCCTGGCTTTCTTCTTGGGCTTTCCCACACGCTTCCAGCTCCCACTGGGACCGGTGGCTAGGCTGGGTGTTGAGGAGGGGAGAACCCTGTGCGAAAGGCTGCACGTTTCTCTCCTTCTTGTGCATCCATCTTGGGCTCCCTCATCTCAGCCACATCCCAGGAGTGCCACACCAGAACTGAAACCCCACGGACGCCCAAGCAGAGGTGAAACCGCGACAGGAAAAAGCACCAGGGAGGCAGTGAAGATGGACTTGATATGAATCTTTAATGCACAGAACAAGCTGCCGGGAGCCTTTCGAACGAAGGCTGCACACGGAGCCACCCCGTCCACTCGGAGTGGTACAAAAGCCCAGCTTGCCTGCAGCGTCCCGGGCACCCACCTGGCTCCCTGCCCCGGGACCCTCGCTGGCAGCGCGGTGTCACCGGCCACCCGCGCCACCTCCTCCTGGCGTCCTCGGCCACCACGGCACCGGGGCCCCTCGCCCCACGGCTGCTGCCCGGTGGTAGGGCAGGCAGGGCAGGCAGAGCAGGCAGGGAGGGGATCACCCTGTGCCCATCAGCTCCCCTCTGCCTGGTCCTGGCCTCGAGTGGGTACCTCCTCCTCCCAGGGTATTGGAGCGTGTAGTCCAGGAAATTCAGTAAGAAAAGATTAAAAAGGAGAGGCTTTTATGCTGAGTCAAATTAGGTAATTTCTTTTTTTTTTCACTCTTGAAAAATTAAAAAAAAAAAAAAAGGAAAAGAAATTAAAGTCCAACTTGCTCATTTCTTGTTTCTCTGCTGTCTGTGTGAGAAAGTCCTGTTTGGCCTCGCTGTCCCCTTCCACCCCCTCTGAACATCACCCGACCCCAAACCCCACCAGCCACTCAGCACATCACAAGTCCTCGACTCCTCAGAGTCCCTTTGCCTCCCACAGCTCCAGGCCCGCTCCTTCCCTCACCGCCCCTTGGACTCCCCGTAGGTGTTGCGCAGCATGGAGACCATCTTCTCCTCGCAGGTGACTTTGGTGTCCTTTAGGATGCTGTACCAGACCATGCCGGGCGGCCGGACCTCCTCGCTGCGGCAGAACAGGTAGGGCATGGTCTCGGTGCGGCTCTGGATGTAGGCACTGCGCAGCAGCGTCGAGCAGTGGCTGCTGACCTTCTCCAGCCTCCTCAGGATCAGGTGAGCCTTCCTGGAGGGGACAGAGATGGGAACAGAGCAGGGCAGGCAAGGCACAGGGGACACCAGGAGTCAGGACTTCTGCCACCAGCTGTCTTGTGGCAAGAATGGACAAGACCCATTGCCTAAGACATTGTCTTTCCTGTTCCAAGTGGAGAGAAGCTCTTGTTTTCCCAAAGTTCTGGGTATAGCTACCATTTCATTTTACAGCACCAAGACCTCAGGTCTGACCCACTGGAGCAGCTTGTGTGCCCTGGGGGCAGTCTGCCCCAGCTAGATTGTCACCACCACCATTTGACCCTGGCCAGCTCCAGCACATGTGCTGGCCCCACCTGGCACCCTGGTGAGACTCCCAGCACCTTCCTGCCCCTGACTGATGAGCACTGCCCTCCCTTTCCTGATTTCCCAAGTCTGCAGGAGGTAAACAGCCCAAAAGGACTGACACTAGAAGAGTGACGAAAAAAAGCACAACACATTAAGACAAAACAAAATAAACCCGTAAGAAACCAAGAATCCCCTTGTGGGAGTCTGCAAAGTGCTAAATCAAACAAAGGGAGGGAAGAGGGTTTACTTCAGTGGTCTGAAAGTTTCAAGATCACAGATTATTTCCTCTCCCTCTGGTGCCACAGGAAAGCTCTGGATTCAGGAGTCGGGGATTTCACAGTTCCTGCAGGAATGTAAATTCCCGATAATGATATGTCAGGGGCAGCACTGTCAGTCAGCAAGGCATAAACATGGGGATTATTTGATTATGAAAGCTGAGTGGTGTTGCAGCTCGGGCTGTGAGCTCCCAGCCTGGGGGGAGGCTTGGAAGCCTGATGTCCAAGGATGGGACGCCAGGGAAGGGCTGGTCTGGGTCACCTCAGTGCCAGAGCAGAGGGCAGAGATGATGGCAGGAGGCAAGAGGGCATCCTGGCACCCCCAGACAGCTCAGACCTCTCCTTCTAGAGTGGGAACACTGATGAAAGGCTGTAGGAAACCACTGCTCCTCCAGGGCTGCATATGGAAAACTGTCCCACTCCTCCCCAGGGGGATGTGCTCTGGGTCAGCTTTGAGGGCAAAGGAAGAAAAAAGGAAGCAGGGCCTTCCTGGAACAACACCCCATGGTATCCATTTATGGATTTTATCCACAAGACACAAGGCAGACAGGGCAATTTGAGCCTTGTTAGCTACATCTATAATAATGATGTCATGGGCTCAGCTCTGACACAACACCTCTACTCACGTTACTCTCCATAGCAGCCACCTGACCTTCTACAGCATCTGGTGCTCCCACCACACACCAGGACCTGACATGCTGCCAGGAACAGGTCCTGTACTGCTGGATGTGTGCCTCTTGGAACCACAAATTCCATGATGGCATTAGGTGCTTTCAGTGAAGACTGATTGATTCAAGCTCAGCTCAGCAGCAAACTGAACTCTGTAGTGATTGTCCCTACAGTTGCCAAACTTCAGTAAATCAGTCACTGCAGCTGGAAGGGAGAAAAGCCATCACCTGTGCCACTTCCTGCTGGAATCAACCTGCCTGGATGAATTTCTTCTGACCTGTTCCTAAAGTCAGGAGCTGGTGATCCTTCAAGTGCTCCCCATCCTCACGCTGGCAGATTGCTTAATATCTGCACTGGTTCTCCCTTCCAGGGAGCTGGTGCTGAACAAGCACAGGACCCACATCACCTCATGGGATGGACTCTTATGTCAGATGGCCATGCTCAGGAGGACATGTTCAGCCAGAACACCCTCACAAAGGAGAAATCTCATCTCTCTAAGGCCACAACTCCATGATCACCCTGATTTAGCCCAAAGCAGCTCTACTACCAAAATGGGATATTGGCCCTTCCCCAGCGCTTTAGCTTGTTCTTGTGCTGGTGTCCATGGACCTCTACACTGTGCCAGCATGGGGAAGTTGTTTATTCAAAGGCCAAACAAGCAATCACTGGGTTTTCCCCCCAAACTGGTTATTATTCCAGCACACCACAAGGCCTCTTCCAGGCATAGCAAGAGGGGAGCAATGAGGAGTGGCCATGACCAGCCCTTGAGGAAAACCCTCATGGTGGGTAACCAACAACACAAGGAGTGGATGTCTCAGGTGGCCAGTGGCTCTCTGCTAGCCACGCTATTCCCTTCTCACCACTTCCCCTATCCCACCCTCCACCGCTTTCCTCACCCATCTCTCACTTTTCTCCCACACAACTTGCCTTTGCCTCCATTTCCCTTGGCCTTCCCTACCTTTCCATTTTCATTACTTGTTCCACTACACTTTAATGATCTCCTGGATATTGCTAGAACTCTCCATGTTGCCCTTGCTTCCTGATAAATACTCAGGCCTCTTATCCAGGCAAATATTCCTACATGTGAGAAGCACTTGAAGGATGACAAGAAATTCAGGGGCCAAACCACCCAAACCTGCTGATGCCTGCTGTGCCAGAGGCTGTGATTCTCCTGGGGCTGTCTCCACACACCTGCTGCATCCACAGCTCACTCTGTGCAGTCAGTCCCAGGAAATACCTGTGTTCAAGGATGGGATGTGGCACATGATGGGCTGGCCCTGTGAGATACTGAAAACACACTGAACTGTGGTCACAGAGGAGGCAGGGTGACGGGGCAGAGGGAATCAGGCCCTTCACTTTTGATGTCCAGTGCCAAAGCTCCAGTTTTGATTGGTTTCACTGCTTTGAGTCATTTATTTTAGCAGGGTAATGAAGTCATGTGTAAATGTTAGATTTAGCTTTCGGCTGTCAGCTGTTCCCTCTTAAAAAAAGTAAGGAGGAAGAGAGACAGAGTGGGTGAGGGGAGGGGTGAGAAAGAGAGAGAGGCTTTCTGGTGAAGACTGGGTAATAAATTACAGGAGCAGTTCTTGGGCTGCCAATTTAACACCATAAATCAAGCCCTGGGTATTACCCAAGTGCTCCCTACGGAGGGCTGTCGGGTCAGAACGACCACCTTTTCAAATACTGGAAATGAAATCTTCCTAAATGCTGACCAACCTCATCCCTGCCAGAAATTGCAATTTATTGCCTTATTAAAGGGCAGGAATTGGGCGGGGACACCAGGGGAGCGAGAGGGGAGTCACTCTCCTGGCTGCCTGTGGCTGGACCCCAAGCTGTCAGTCCCCAAAGGGATGAAGTGACCCCCTTCCCACTCACCCTACAGCCCAGATGGGGATGCCCCCATGTTGGTGTGGGCCAGCAGTGTCCTCTCTCCCACCACATGCCCACCACAGGAGGCAGGGACTGATTCTGGACTGCACTTAGGTGGTGGATTTAGGAGGTCACAGCACAGTCACAAATGATGAAGAGGGGGATTTACAAATAGTGACAACTCTAAGCAGCCACTTCCCTCTGCAGTGCCTCATGGCATGGAGGGAGAGAGGAAATGGGAGTGGATGGGTGTCTGCTGCCAGGGCACTTTCCAAGGGCTCCTGCATGAACAGGAGACAGGGCCCTGAGGCCCCAGCTGCCAGCCCCAGCTCTGCAAGCATTTTCTTGAGAGTAGGAGCTTCCTGTTCTGCCCAGTGCCAGGGGTGCTCCTGCTGGGATGTTTGTCCCCTCCAGCTGCTCAGGGGACAGCCAACATTCACCGTGAGGGCTGATACGGGATGAAAATATATCCAGAGCCAGGCAAACCCTGCCTTGCCTCACCTTGGAGGGAGGTACTAAAAGAGGGCAAAGCAGCATGAAGGAGCCATTAAAGAATGATACCTGGGCTGGAAGGAAGAATGAGATTCCTGAGACTGCAGGGAGGGGTGGCTGCCTGGCTGCTGTGCTCCTGTGTGAGGTGGTTCTGTCATAAACTCAGATTTTCCACTCTACTGAGAGCTGACCTGGGTCTTTCAGACCCTTGTGTGTGAGGACAGTGAGTCCAGGACTTGATGGCCTCTTATCACAGCCTCCCATCAGAACATTGCATTCCCCCTTGTACCAGAAGGCAGCTGCTCTGGAGATGCATTTCATGTCCCTTGGCCAGCCCAGCTGCCTGCCTGGGTGACTGGCTGGAGCAGGGGACAGGTTGTGAGCCCTGGACTGATTCCATGTACTGACCCCAGTGTTGCTGATAGCCACAAATAGGGGCATGGAATAAAGATTTTAAGTTAATTATTTGTTCTGCCTCCTCTTAAAAGCCATACCCTGCTTGTAGTGATCATAAGAATCATCCTGAAAACACAGTAAGATAAAATAATAGTAAAATCTCCCTGTGGCTATGTTAGGAAGCAGACTGGCTGCATGGATCCAGAGGTCTAGATGCACAGTAGCATTAAAGTTCACTGATTAAGACAGATTCTTCTGTCTTGTTGGAACAAATTAACTGTATGAGATTCACTCGGTGTCTGTGAGAGGAGCGGGGGGGAGCAGGAAGGGGGCTGCTGTTGCTAGAGGAGATGAGCAGGATGAGGCAAGCCAGGTGTTGAGATGCTGCTGACCACGGAAAATCCTGGTTTAGGGCCACCTATGAGCTAAGTTTTTAATGTCTCCTTAATGTAAACGGTCTGGTTGGGACATCTGGCTGTCAGTGTGTCTTCTTGCCAGCAGCTGTTTGCAGTAACCTGTGGCTTTCATGGAAACTGGGCTCACGAGGACCTCAGTGTGATGTATTTATTACACAGAGGCAATCGACTCCCCTCTTGTCGCTCCGTTTTATGAGTGAACATTCACTGTGAAGCTGAGGCTCATCTGATAAACATTTCAAGGTACAGAAATGCATGTCCCCCTGGGAAGGAGAACAGCCTGTCAATTAAAATCCTGTTATGAGATGGCCTCCCTTGGCAAAAAAAAAAAAAAAATCCTCATTGCCTCCTGCTGTGTCAGTGGCTCTGCTTCTGTCCAAGCCCCCTGAGAAGCCAGGCTGGATGGCAGAGCTTCTCTCTTGTCACGAGCCTGGCACTGGCTGCCTTGGCTTTTAAAAATTCATCCCCTTGGCTGCAAATCACATGTTTCTCAGGGCAGAGGAGTGCTGGGAGGAACTCCCCTGGCTCAGTGAGGACAACAGACAGCAGCCAAATTGACCATGGGCTCCAGATGTAGCTGGGTCCTAGAACTGGCAGTTTAAATGTCACCCTGCTGTCCCACAGCTTGAAGCAGGTATTGGGTTAGGCAGCATCCTTCAGTGGGTTGGATCTCAAGTAACAGGGGAAATAAATATGTGTAAGAAGAAGCTGATGGCTCCCAGGGATTCAGAAAAAAACGAACAATTGAAAAGGACAAACTAGCCTGCAGTGTCATCAGAGGGAAGACGGGGAAGATGAGAGTGGCTCTGTGCCAGAGGCCACTGAACTACCGCAGAAACTATGACCAAGGTCATCTCTGGAGGAGGACAAGCCCCAGGACAGCTTGGATCTGTGTCCAGAAGGAGTGTAAAGTTGTGAGGTGTCATCCTGGTACTATAGAGAGATCCTCAGCCACATCTGACAAGCCAATAGGAACAAAGAGAGAAGGAAAAACTTTTCCAGGCCTATATTACACCCTTTGCCCCCCTCTCCTCAGTGTTTCCAAGCCCCCAGCTCACCCAGTTCAGGCTGGGTGACGCAAACATTCATTCAAAGACCACCCAGCTGCCAGGTGTCCCACCAGCATTCATCCAAGGACTGAGCAGGACCTGGTGCTCCAAGGGGATGCAGGACAGCTTGGTGAACACCAAAAGGGGGCTTCTTTTAGCTACAAGGAGACCAGGGGGTCACATCCCCAGTGGCTAAGGGGGGTCACATCCCCAGTGGCTAAGGGGGTCACATCCCCAGTGGCCAAGCAGAAGGGTGCTCTGGGCATGGGGCAGGGCAGCACAAAGGGAAGGGACAGGTACCTGGGCCCCAGCTCATCCTCACTGCGCCAGACGAAGTCTCCAAACTTCTCGTAGTGGGAGTTGTAGTGGTGCTGGACTCGGAAGAGCATGGAAGCAGAGACCTCCATCAGGGTGTTGTAGGCTGTCTGCTGCTCCTTCCCGCTCGTGTAGCCGTTGTAGAGGTTGTAGATTTTGTCAGCTATCTCTGGAAAGGATCGGGGCATGGGATTAATGACCAGCTGAAGTTGATAACATGGGGAGAGGAGGAGCAGAGGCTTGGCTGGGCTGACAGCAGGGGTTTGGCAGCTGGGGTGGCTGCCAGTCCCTTGGGCTGCCTGCAGCAGGGGTGAGTGACTGCAGAGTATTCAGCAATTCCTCAGGCTGATCCTGCAGTGGGTGCCCTGCATGAGCAAATCTCTCACAAAGCCTCCAGCAGTACTCCATGAAGGAGCAGAAGGAGAAGAGGCAAAAAGCTGCCAGGACAGGCAGACAGCCTTATCCTCCCAGGAAGGGCAGGCAAGCTCTTCCCAAATTCACCAAACCAAAAGCCCTTGGCAGTTATGGTGCTAAAGAGTGGGAAAAGATGAACACTTGATCCCAGGATGGCCAGAACTGCAGCACCTCATCATTGTGGGCATCCGCTGGAGCAGCTCAGATGTGTTAAACAAGAGTGTTAACTCTCTGCTGTAAAAAAAAAAATATCTTTTTGGAGACGAGAAATGCACAAAACTGCATCTCCTTTCTCCTTAGTCTCCTATTTGCTGTTTTTCCATGGGAATGCTTTCTTATTGAAGACAGAACTAAGCACTAACCAAATTTTTTTCTGTGTGATATTCCCAATGGAAAGCAAGCAAGAAAGAGAGCAGGTAACATGATGGTCGCATAGAGGAATCCTTTCAAATCTGAACTCAGCCAGGTGCTCTGGTTTGGGTATAAGGACAAGTGGGATCAGTTTCAAAACTGAACAATGCAAATGTCCAAAAGTAGCTGAGCTTTTATCAACATTTCTGTTGATTTCCAAACTGATGCAGCTGCCCCCAGCATCCCTTCAAACACCAGGGCCAAAGGTGCCCTGCGCGGCCCAGCCCGGGCTGCTTCTCTCAGGTTTGTGAGAAGGGATTGCTCTTCTTCCAGGGGGCCTGTGTCACACACACAGTACCAGCTCCCACAGCCCTGCAAGGAAGGATGCCTGTGTGGCATCACAGAGTCATCAGCTGCCCAGCCAAGGAGACTTTGCCCCTGGACACTCCTGCCATTTGTCACCCATCCCCAGATGAACGTCCCTGTGCCCATGGGTGAATTTAAAGGAGCCTTCCCACTGGGAGAGAAGGGCCTGGGCAGGTTTGTGGGAGCACAGTGACAAAAGAAAAATCAAAATCAGCAGGAGATGTCTCCTGGCATGGATCATGAGGCACCTAAACACTGACCTTCAGCCTTGCTGTCATCTACCAGCGGGCAGGCTGTCCTCAGGGTGACTGTGCTCAGCTCTGAGTGTCTCCCTCGTGTATCCACCGCGTACAGGGTAAATCTGGAAGGCAGGAAGCAAAAGAGAACAATGTCTTGATCCGTCAGTCCCACACCACCAGGTTGTTAAGGGAACTGGCCTTCAGAAGAGAAAGGGAAAATGTGGTCCAGGCATTGTCAGTCAGTTTTGGCGTCTCAAGGAGATGTGAGATGATCTCTTGGAACAGAGGAGAACCCAGGGACAGGAGGCAGGGCTGAGGGGACAGGCCACTTCATCCCTTTCTGGAATCCGTGGGGCTCCATTTCCTCTCCCCTCATCCCAGGGCCCCCTGTGGGGCTTCACCCTGAACCCTCCTGACTGCAGAGGGATGCGGACACCTCAGGGCTGCTCTCCATGCACTGATGCTAACATTATAACATGGTGGTGTTTGTGAGCCGGGCTCCTCTCTGGCCCTTCTGGGAGCAGAGCAGTAATTCTTGCTGTAAGTGGGCTTTGTGCTGACAAGTGACAGCTCGTACTCATCCCGTGAACGGCCCTTGAGTTGTTTGCTCCCTCATTTCCTCACAAGGGTGGGGCTGGCCAAAGGGTGGGAATGATAATTTCACACTTGAAGCTAATGGAGAGCATCTGACAGTAAAATATGGCTTTTGTGCCTGATGGAGCATTGAATAAACAGGCTGTGGCTGCATGGAACGTCCCGGGATGCTGAGCTCAGAGTCCTGCTTGGAGCATCAAAGCTCCAAGATGAGAATGCTTCTTCGCAGCAGGGGTGACAATCTTCTGTCCACTCTCCCAAAGGGCAGCAGTTCATGTTTATTCACTATAAGCTGGGCATGGCAACTCAAGCTGCCTGTGACAAAGTACAGGGGCTGGTTTGAACCCCTCAGAGATCTAGGATGCCTGGTGGTGGGGTTCCCAGCCTGAGAAATAACATGCCACCCCTCCTTAGCCTAAGGTAAAACTGACCAGCTCTTGCAAGTGAGTGTAAGGAGTATTATAAAAGCAGCTGAAGCTTAAATGGGATTGAGACCCTGATGTCTGTTTATTTAAGTAATAGTCCTAAGTCCTTAGCATCCTTGGGGGTGACAGAAGCAATGCCTCCCTCTTTCTCACCCCACACACGAGCACTGCCAGCCCCCTCTCTCCTCCCTGCAGGCCCTGCACATCCTACATGTGTCTGATAAGAACTGACATCTGCACGGTAGCAATTCCCAGCACAGGACATATTCCCTGCAAGCAATTAGCATTAGCTCCCTGACAATACTTGCTGTCTGAAAGGATGCCAGCAGATTGCCAAGGAACTCACTTGTGTGCAGGGACAACTCCCATTTTCACAAAGCTGGGGCACACAGGGGATGCACACGCTCAGCTCACCCAAGGAGATGCTATTTAATCCTTTTGGCATGACATCATTTTCCTGAATTTACCAGGAGCCTTGCTCAGAGTGGGAGTATCTGAAGAAGGACATCCACACTGTGCCACTTCACAAGTACCACACACAGGCTGTTCTCACTGAGGGACACCCAGAGCAATAGGGCAACACAGAATTCCATGCAGGAGTCTGACTGCAGGGTTTTGCCTCCCATCCTGAAGATTCCACTAGTCCTTTCCCTCCCTTCAAGGGCAGTGAGGAGTCTCCTGCTGGGAGCAGGGCAGGTTTGTGTCTCAGCAACACCAACAGGGGCACCCAGTGCTGAGCAGGGGCACTCCAGCCCCAGGAGATGAGGAGCTGGAGAACAGGGCAGGGACCCCCAGCTGCCCACCCACTGCAGGGCTCTTCTTGCTCATCAGCAGAAGTACAACAAGCAGTAAGAGGGCTCAACATCAGGGTACTGCTCCCCATCACCATCCTGGGCTCCCCTGCCGAGACACAGTGGCTGTGCTGCTGTGTTTGCTTTGGAAAAAGGGTGAGCACAGCTAATGTGTAACCTCTGCTCTGCCCGCAGCAGCTCAGGCTGGCTCCATTAGCTCTGAGGCAATCAGTGCCAGAGCACTTTCCTTGGAAAACAGAAGACTTTTATCAAAACATAATTGTAATATTCAGCAATTAGTGCCCATTTCACCTATTCCACTGCCAGTGGGGTCAGGAAGATTGGTTGGGTGTTGAAGCACATCCATCCCTTTGGGTGATGCTGAAGACCTGTGTGAGCCTTTTGACTGCACTTCTCCCCTCAGCCCAGCTCACACAGGAGCAAAGTCACTCAGCTGCCAAGAGCATCTCTCCTGGTCAGGCCTGGGTTAAAAAATAGATGTCAAAAAAACAAGCCCTCTTTTTTTTTTTTTTTTGGTTTAAGGAAAAAAAAAAAAACAACAATGTAAATGGAAAAACATCAGAATCAAAGTGATTTTGATCTTGTCAAAAATTCTTTTTCTGAGAACAAACCCAATTGCTTTACCTCACCTGGAGCCAGTCCTCTTTCAAGAGCCTTAGAGGAAACTCTTTCATCTCCATTCCTTGTGAATGACATGTTTTGGACTCAGCACCAATCACCCCAGCTGGGTGGAGGCTGACAGCCCAGCAGCACACAGCCTCTGCACCTCTCTAGCTCCTTCCAGCCAGTGACCTCAGAAGGTTTTAACATTAATTACAGTCCAAAAGATCACCCTGAAGCACAGCAGTATTAATAGCTCTGTTTTATCGACAGTAAACAGAGACATATGGGGTGAAGCATCGTGCCCCGGAGAGGCTCAAGTTTGAAAACACGGGAGATGATGGTTTCCAATCTTGTTCTCAAACCACTTGACCACCCAGCCTCTGCAGCAAAACAGTTTTATGGCCAGTTAATGGCACTGTGCAGAGTGCTGGGCTTTAGTTTTGTTCTTTTATTCCCGGAAATGGACAATTAAGAGAAGGGAGTGCAAAGACCTGTGTTTCTGTGTCTCTGTGCAAACCCAGCATTCACATCTTGCTGGAAACCTTCAGCAGATGCAGGCAAGGAGCAGCCTAGGACCCTCTGGGACATTAGTGGGGTAGTCAGTGGCAGGAGAGATCACCACTGCATGGGAAGGATGGGGATGTGGCTTTAAGCTAAAGCAGAGTAGGTTTGGATAAGGTATTAGGAAGAAATTCATTGCAATAAGAGTGGTGAGGTTACCAAAACAGGTGTGGACTCCACATGTCTGGAAGTGTTCAAAACCAGGTTGGGCAAAGCTTTGAGCTTTGCCCAACCTGGGATAGTGGAAGGTGCCCCTGCCCATGGTAGAGGGTGGGAATGAGATGAGCTTTCAGGTCCCTTCTAACCCAAACCATTCCATGATTTTGCACCTACATGACAAACCAGGGGAAAATCAAAGTGATCACACTGAGGGAGGGAGCTAAGCCAAGGGCAAGGTGGGATTTTGCAGCACTCCACGGAGATCCTCCTGCCCCACTTAAATCCATTACAGAGTTGTGGGCCAAGGGACCAAGCCAGGCATCGTCCCCACTGATGAGGATAGAGCTGCACTTGAATAGGCCAACCATGGTAATTTGTAAATAAATGAGGCCAAAGAGTGGTTCTGAGTGCTTTGCCCAAGGCAGAGATCTCTGGGGTGAAGTCAAAGCCAGAAACTAAAAGGTCTCAGACCTACAGTCATTGCACAAAACCACGTCAGACAACCTGGAATGCCATATGGTAGCTACGATCTGGCAGAAGCTCCTTTATACCCTGGAGATGTTTTGTTTAGTGATAAACTTTCCTCACCACATTTCCTCATCTTCTCCCTGTGCTTTCCAAAGGAGCTCCAGGCTCCCTGCTCCTGTCTCGCAGCTGATTCTCTTCTTCACCTGTGCCTTCAGTAAGATCCTACATGAAAACTTGTGTATCTAGAAATACTAGAATGTATTTTACCTGAAGAGGTTTCCAAGAGGTCTAAACACATATGCTTTTGGCAGGGATCAGCCCTCCATGCCTAGAAATGCTGCCACCTCTGCAGCAAATCACAGCATACAAAGTCCTATAAAGTAATGCTAGTTAAATGTTTACTTCTAAATACAAATCTATTGGGACCTGAAGGAACTTTCAGGGAGAGATAGAAACCAATCAACATTTGCCTCAGGAAATGTGAATACCTTCCTCGTGAATTCCCCACCCAGTGTTTGCTGAAGGTTGGGTTTTATCACCAGGCTCAAGATGCTTCTTGGGGGAGGAAGAGAAAGCAAGAGGGGGATGTTAATGCTTCAGTTCCTGGAACCCAATGGCTGTCGAGATTGTCTGTTGCATTTCAAGAGATTTAAAACCCAGAAAAGAATGCTTATATCCTTTCTCAGTGCAGAGAAAATAACCCTAAATACTAATTTAAAAAGGCACAAAACTCTTAAGACTGAGAATAAAAGCTCAAAACATGTTACTTATTTATAGACAGCATGTTTTCTTAACTCCCTCTCATGGTGCTCATGACGTTTGAGTGCTTTATTCATGATCCTTATTTGCGGGAAGTGAGATAAGGACTTCTGAGTCTGACCTTCCTTAGCTCAGCTGCTGATTTCTTTATATCCTACAGAGATACCACAGGCATTTCTGGTCTGCCTTGTCTGCTCTTCCTGAGGCCTTTGGGCTGGTGCAGCTGCTCTGTGAGATGCTGTACCACATGGGCTGCCTGGGCTGCAGAGAAGGGCTCTGATAAGGAGCTCAATTAGCGCTCCCGCAGCTGCCAAGCCCCCACGCTAATTAAGCATGTGTCTCCTGGGAGCTGGCTGCACCCAGCAGCAATGGCTGTGTGGCCAACCCAGGCTCTGAGAGGAACCTGTGTGAATGAAGGAGTGAATGAAGGAGAGGGCAGAGGTGCTGCTCCAGAGCCCAGTGTCACGCAAAAACGCGGCCTCAAGCTTTCCAAAGAGGTGCAACCACAAGATGATCCTGCCAGTGGGGCTTGGCTTGAGCTTGGCTGATCTGCCTGGGCTTGGTGCCGTGTTCCTGCAGCCACGAGACTCTTGCTGTTAGCTCCAGCAGCTCGGCGAGGGCAACCCTGGCTGGCGTCCCACACACAGCGTGATGGATTCTCCCTCCCCTGGCAGCATGGCTACCACCACCCGTCATGCCGAGCCTGAAAACACAAATCCTGCCTTGGCTGAGGTGTTACAT